TCCGATGTGGGGGGGCTGGGGACACGTACGTACTTTTCATGCCATAGACGCGCGTGCCACGGAAACAAATAATAAAAAATAACCACATAGAGTGTATATATCTCTATAAGGCAAAACAATAATTGTTGAATATCGTGCGTGCAAGAATACTATAGTACTAATAACGTGCACTTAAGAGGCCATAACTCCGAAATCACTCCGATTCTCAGAACTACTAAATATGAATATAAAATTTCTTAAAAATCGGTCAAACCGTTTTGGAGGAGTATGGAAACTAACATTGTGACACGAGAACCTTATATATATTATATATATATATGTTTTAAACATATTCAAAATTATAACGATATAGCTTTATCCCCCCTCAAAAAAAAATCAAAGGCCAATATGCAGTTGCAACAGATTTGATTGTTTTTATCAATAAAATATTCTGTTTTTGTAATGGTGAGACAGCCATTAATTGATAGATTAAAGTATTGAAAAATATCACGTTAAGTAATAATAAAACGCATAAACTGTAAATATATAGTAAAAAAAATTCAAAAATAATCTAGGTACCAATTAATTCAACTAGATAAAAAAAAAATAAATAAATAAATAGTTGTGATTTAGATTTATCTTTTATACTAATTGTAATTCAACATATTAAATATAATATAAAAAAATTGGATATGATGTGGTCAATACTTTGAGACGAGCTGTCGCTGGGTCCAGTGAATTGGTCCGGAACAGTCCAGTCTCAGAAGTGTGGTGTTATGGCGGGGGTGTTGGTTCAGTAAGACACAAGAAAAATACAACACCAACGGTTTTGGTTACGAATTTGCCTAGTGACTCTTTATTGACACCAGGAAAAAAAAAGAAAAAAGAAAAGGTCCGGTAGACCGTGGTGTACGTATATCGACGTGTATGTCGTTCGACGGTCGTTTTGTCTTCTCGTCCCACCTTGTGCCTATAGAGCGCGGTGGGAGAGTCGACGGTGTCGCACCGTCGTCTCCCATGGTGGCGGTTGAAAAAAGTGTAGGCCRGTCGCTGCGGTACCTGTACTTTGAAGTGGTTGCCGCTACGGACCGTGTGAAAATTGCTATACAGAATAATATGTCAAAAAGGATAGAAGTACAAATAGGAGGGGCTTTTATACTATTATTTTTTAGAATAACTACAAAAATCTAATTCGATCTTATTGAAAACTGTTTTTGCGTAAGAGTATATTTTGTTCTTCCTTAATTCATCGCTCCACTTATGATCTGAAAATAATAGACTTACCAATCTTGTCTATAAAAAAGAAAGATTTAGTTGACATCATAATGAATATTTACAGATTTATAGCCAGTATTGTCATTGGGTAAATCATAGAATACGGTGAAAAACTATTCTAAGAGGAGATAATATACATTTTCATAACGATATATTTTTTTTAACACTTATAATATACGTAATTTAATTTTCTTTTAATTTTTACATTTATTATATTACGTTTATACTCGTTTTTCATTTATTCATCATACCAATTATGATCTCAAAATAGTAAACTTACCTGGTGTCACTAGAAAAAAGAAAAAAATATTTAGTCGACATCATAATAAATGTTTACAGGTTTATAGTCAGTATTGTCATTGGATATAATATCATTATTGTAATAGATGTGATGAGTAGTTTTACAGGATCCTATTTAATCTGAATCTAATCATATTAATTCCTTAACAGGCACCTACTGACGTACATAAACCGCGTGAATAGGAGTTTTCTTAATTATTTTATCTTTTAAAGTTTTAACCGAATGTTTTTAAAAAATACTGGGAATTGTTCACTATTTTATAGTACGCGATGTACTAACAGAATCAAATATTAAAAGAAACCTTCCAAAAGTTGTAAATATTAATTAATTTTTTACTGCATGTAAATGTGCATCAGACATACAAAAAATAGACATACATAATTATTGTTTAATACTTCGACAAATATAATCATAAATCCATTTAGGATCTGAAAAAATTCTATTATATTAAATATAAAATAATTTTATTATTATTTATATTAAGTAATTAACTAATTGACTGACAAGACGAAAATATTATATAATTATGTATTTTGTATAACTAATTGAACTATACACCTATAAAATAATATGAATAATTGAAACTATAAGAATTTATATGATAAACAATTTGAGTTATTGGCCGGATTGTTAAATTTGTTTGTCACATCGATTTTCAATATTAAGACTAAATACTTCTTTTTCTCATTCATGAAATTTGTTTGATTTCGAGCAWTTCAATCGGTCTCAATTGTTATCAATAATATCGTTATCATAATTATATTAATTTATGTCATCAACAGAAAACAGGATTGATCATAAAAAGACTATATACATCATACTATTTATATAAATATTAGTTGTTTGGATCGCAATATGGAAACTTACAACAATCAACTCTATATATTATGTTTAAAGTATCATTTTTAGTAAAATTTAAAAGCATATTTTTATAAATATAACGACTTGCCTTATCAATAAATTATTAAAAAGTACTAGACATTACAGTTTATTGTTACAGAACTATAACAAACTTCATTTAATAAATATTACTAAATTAACAAAACAAAACATAATAATAATAATGCATACATGATATTACTGAAAAAAAATCAAATAATTAATACAAATAGTTAAATTAAATATAATTGTTTCAAAGCACTATCTTAATATTAAACGTTAAGAGTTTTTGGAAAGTCGGCCACGATATTATGCAAAACTTAAAATTTGATGAATTATTAAATTTAAAATACTTACCCGCCCCCTTTTGAAGATCATCAAAAGATCCTTTATCTAAAATTTAATTATTTCCGTATTATACTACTTATGATACTAATACCAGTAATACCACACGGCGTTAATATATATAACATTTACTATATAACTATCCCCTAATGTAATTTTTGGCCGTTAATCTGTATACAATACTATATTATCTACATGCATTTCAATGTACAAGTGACGGAGTACTTATACAAAAAAGTCAAAACATTAATTACATAAATAATATGACAAATACTTCAAAATGTAAAAAGTGAGTTTTGTCTAAATATTAACTTTTAATGCTTTAGAAAAAATTCAAGCTTATGAATGATTAATTTTTTGAATTGTTCTTAAACCCTTTATAACAGGGGTGATAAAACCACGGCACGCGTGCCAAAAGTGGCACGTTTGTCAAATTTCAATGGCACGTTAAAAATTATAATATTCCCATGTGTAAAATTGATTATGTTGGTATACTTCAAAAAAGTCCGAGTTAAAAAAGTCCTAGGAAAAAAATCCGAAACATAAAAAGTCCGTGGGGAAAAAGTTGGCACATATCATTAGGTAAAATTCAAAATACGATGTGATGTACTATAAAAAATTTTTATTAGTATTAATATAAATGCAAACTAAATTATTTACGTGACAAAATTAATAAATAATCTTGTATAGGTACTAATAAATACTTTTTTGGACATTGAACGCTTCTTGACTTTTTTGGCTGCTTGTAATAATAAAATACCTACTATTTCTTTTATCTTATTTATCTGGTTTGTTTAGTTTTACTCGTATAGTCTATACATCCGATATAGTTAATATAGATAGAGATATCTATGGTGATGTATGGGTATGTCCACCGTGTACATATTGTACATGGGGTAACTGAACAATTGTAATTTTTGTTAGAATAGTTAGAATTTTTGTTAGTTTAGTTCGATATTTTATTAGTTAGTTGTTGTTTGCTCTCGAAGAAAAAATATCAAAGTTGGTCATAATATCAGAACAAGGCCTAATTAAACATAATTATTGATTTTTTTTTTTTAATTTTTTGACGACAATGAATTATTGAACCGATAAGTCATACTTCTAGATAAACATTATAATTATTGAATTTTTTTATTTGAATCATAATATATTATGTATATTTTTTTGCAGTTCTGCGATAGCGGTTGTCCGATACGCACGTGTGTTTATTTATTATTTATTTATTTTTTTTTTTCGATTAATTATTCACTTGCATATACGGTAAAAGTGCCAAAATGCGTTAGTCGACTAGTTTTTGTTTGATAATTTAACTAAAATAATTTCAAATGCGTAATTTACGCTTATTTAGTTTACTCGGACGGTATATCACGTTATCCGCAGTTGAATTTCATTACGGCGGCCTTGAGATTCTTATAGTCGTTCTTATCGCGTTGCTCGCTATCGCGTGAATAGTGAATAATTATAAATATATATATATTTTTTTTCATATTATATATACGATATCGTGTTTTAAACTACAAGATTATACTGGAAAACCGATTGCTGGTTGTTTTTATTCAGAGGAAATATTAAAAACAAGCTATCCGAAAGACTATTTAGTTGAAAAAATTATACGTAAGAAGGGGAAGCACAAATTTTCGTTAAATGGTTAGGGTTCGATAATACACACAATAGTTGGATAAATACGACAGACATTAGAAAATAGTGTCAGTCGAGCTATAGACATGAAACGTGTTCGGAACCTCTCAGGCTAGTGAAACTAATACATTTTTAGTAAATCTCGAACAAATTGTTAAATCGTATTCGAATAAACTCGATAAAATTGAGCATTTACTTGAAGAAAATCATAAATCTATTCTAATTCAAGAGGAACAAACAGAAAAGTTAGAATTAACGTGCATAGAGATTCCAGAGCATATGACAAGAGGCGAAGTATCATTACAATATATCAAAGAAACTATAGATGAGATTAAAAAAAAAATACCAGCTATACTGAGCCGTCTTAACACTATAGAAACTTATTATAAAGACAAGTTATAATGTCTTCAGCCATCTTGGACATGCAATGCGTTTTTGGCGTGATAAATACATGATAAAAGAAATGTCAGTGGTAGACACGGAAACCTGGGCGCCTCAACTCTGGATTTTTAAACATTCAAAATCCATGGATGATAACAAAAGTCGTAAAACCAACAAGTGGTTGGAACGTAATTATCATCAACTAGCTATAGAATCTGGCGATGTCGAGTATGAAGAAGTCGGAAGAATATTGAATTCATTAAAGTTCATTAAAAATCCTTCAGATAATGATGATGCGCGTGCGTACAAGCGTTTTCATGGGTGGCTATGGTGGGCGGTGGATGTAGATCTGCGGGGGAGGGGGTAAATATACGTCACACACATACGCGAGTACGGCGGCAAGGATCAGCGGATCAGGGGATCAGGCATCAGAAGCCCCCAAAATATACTAATAATAATAATAATAGATTGGTATCACCTATTAAAATTGTTAATAACAGTGCATCGTCTCAATCGAATCCAAATGACACTTCAGATAATGGGAACTGGACCGTTTAAACTAATAAAAGAAATCACTCAAGCTCATCAGCTCCAAACTCACCCAAAACACCAAGTCAACCAACCAAAAAAAAATTATTTGCAACAGTTAATCGATTTGAAGTTTTCAGCAAACCTGATAACGATAGTGACAAAATTATCGATAATTATAACACTAACATGTCCTCTAATAATTCGGATCAAAACAACACAAAATCTACCGTCAAATCTCCTCCTCCAATTTTTATAAAAGGTGTCCTAGACTTTCCTGAACTATGCACAAGTCTTATTGAGATATTTAGTGTTGATAACTTTTTTTGTAAGTCTCCCACGGATCGACTAAAAGTTCAAACTAGCACTCCTGATGCATACAGAACACTAATACACTTCCTCAAGGATCAAAAGCTGAATTTCATACTTATCAGCTCCATGAACATAAACCCACTCGTGTAGTGATTAGAAACTTACACCCATCAACGCAAATCAGCTTAATCAAATCTGAACTGGAACATCGAAATTTTGAGGCTCGTAATGTTACAAATGTTATTCACAAAGTCCATAAACATCCATTACCACTTTTTTTCGTTGACCTCGAACCTTCCCCCCAATCAAATGATATCTACAATCTAACTTCTATGCTCCACACCAAAATTAAAGTCGAGGAGCCCTATAAACCTAAATTAATAAACCAGTGTATTAACTGTCAAGAATATGGACACACTAAATCTTATTGTAATTATCCATCACGCTGCGTTCGCTGTGGCGATTCCCACCTTTCATCAGACTGCACCAATTCTCGACCCCACCCATATGTGCCCTGTGTAAAGGAAACCATCCAGCCAGCTATAGAGGCTGCTCAGTATACAAAGAAATTTAACGACGCAAGAAACCTCATTTAAACAATGATTTTCTATCTGATAATTCTAGATTTAAGATACATAATGTACAAACTAGCCACCCAACAAATCAGGCTACCTCTGGCCAACACTCAACTCATCCTCCTCCCTCTTCAGAACCGAACATGAATAAAGTAATGACTCATTTTCTAGAAGAATTTAAATCTCTATTAAATCCACTAATAACACTACTTACTAAAGTAATTTCCTCGCTGTTGGATAAAACAAATGACTAATTCTGCTACTAATAAATCCCTACTTATCTTACTATTTAATGCTAACAGATTAAAACATTATGTATTGGAACTTCAATCAGTTCTATACAATAAACGTATTGATATAGCCTTAATAACTGAAACCCGTTTCACCCAATACTCGTACATACATATTCCTGGTTATAAACTCCATAAAGTCAATCACCCAGACAACACAGCGCATGGGGGTGTAGCAATCTTAGTAAAAGATACTTAAATATATCAAACCCTCCCAGAGTTTTGCGAAGATTTTCTGCAATCTTGTGCTAAACAAATCCATCTAAATAACGTCCCAATCGCAGTTGCTGTAATTTATTCACCTCCAAAACATAATGTCTCTCATGCGAACTTACACAATTATTTCGATACAATAAACAACAACTTTATTATGGGCGGAGACTATAATGCGAAGCATCAGAGTTGGGGCTGTCGGGTAAAAAATCCCCGTGGTAACGTTCTATATAATTTCATAAATTCTAAAAAATTCAAGGTATTTGCTCCCTCAGGTCCTACTTACTGGTCATCATCTCCCCATAAAAATCCAGATATATTGGATGTCTTCGTAACAAAAACCCATTCCAATTTACCCCTTGATATTAATAATATTCTAGATTTAAACTTGGACCACTCTTCGGTCATTCTCACCCCATTCTCAATGACTACCCTCCAATCAGTACTGTACCACCAAAGCTCTTTTATGCCTCTACTGACCGATACAAATTTCACGACCTTGTGAATCAAAACCAACATTTAAATGTAAGATTAAAATCTATTGATTATATAGATACAGCTGTAAATTACCTCACGAATGTTATTCAAACAGCAGCTTGGTCTGCCAACGCACCTAAAAACCATGTACATAATAATAATACCGATTCGCTACCGATTAACATCCGTATCCTTATAGCTGAAAAGAGAAGAGCTCGAGCTATATACCAACGCACTCGTCTACCCTCCCACAAAAAAATTTACAATAAACTAGTCAACACTCTTAAAACAGTCTTATCGAAAGTCAAAAATCACTCTTTTGAAAACTTCCTGACTAATTTATCAACTAATAATGACAGTCTTTGGAAAGCGACTAAGCTAGAACTCCATTATAAAGTTACTACCCCACCTATTAAAAGATCTGATGGAAGCTACGCTTCGTCAGACTCTGAGAAAGCCGAACTATTTAAAAACCACCTTTTTAATGTTTTCCAACCTAATCAAGACGTTTCACCTTCTAACATAAATGTGGTACTTAGGTATCTTGATTTTTCCTTTCCAAATACACCCCCAGTTAAACACTTTTCACCGAGCGATATTAAATTTACCATTCAAAAATACTGTCTTAAAA